CCCCACATTCCCCTCCCATCACCATCACCATCATCACCATCGTCAATCTACCCGTGCAACCCCCTTTTTAACCCTACCTACCATGCTACCACCCAATTAATCATAGACAGGATCACTCTGCCCTCGATTTACTTCAAAACTCATTGATTCCTTTATTTATTGTTATTTTTTTATTTTTAGAATTCATTTGAAATTCTTGTAAATAGTAAATACGAAATACTTAATTAATTATCGACATTTCTTTTTCCAAAATATTTTCTTTTTCAAAAATTTGGAAAATAAGCAGAATTAATTATTCTTTCTCGGCCTTTCTTCCTTGAAATTCGAAAATAAGTTTAAGTAATTGTTTTTCGAATTTTTTGTAATCCGAAAGTATTTTAGAATTAATTAAATTCCTTCCTTTTTCGTAATCCGAAAATACGTTACAATTAATTAATTCTTCTTCGACATTTCTGCAAGGAAAACGAGTTATAGCGAACTTCAGAAAACAAACAACATCATACACATGAGACCAGATAGTCACGACCTCGAACCAATAGCAGAATTGCACCACGAGTTCCACCAAATAAGAGCACAGCAAAATGTGGCATACTGTACAGCCACACGGGCCTGCAGGGCCCGACCAGCGTTCTCAGCCTAAAAGCCTGAAAAGAGGGCCTACAGGCCCTGTGTCGCTTTCAGCCTAAAAGCCTGAAAACGAGGGCTTACATGCCCTGTGTCGGTTCAGCCTGACAGCCTGAAAATAAGGGCCTACAGGCCCTGTGTCGTTTCAGCCTGACAGCCTGAAAACAAGGGCCTACAGGCCCTGTGTCGTGTCAGACTGACAGCCTGAAAACGAGGGCCTACAGGCCCTGGGTCGGTTCAGCCTGACAGCCTGAAAACAAGGGCCTATAGGCCCTCAGTCTTTAGCCAGAAGCTACCTGGAAACTACCCGGAAGCTTCCTCAGGGGCTAGCACGTTCTGGCATTGGCAAGAGCAGCCTCCCGGAAGCTTCCTCAGGGTCTAGCATGTTTGGGCATTGGCAAGAGCAGCCTCCTGGACAGGACAGCACTATATAAGACTGGCCCGCCCTACAGGCAGGTAGTTAGTTCATAGGGACTGGCCAGGCACTTCACGTGCAGTTCAGGAGGCAGAAGGCAGGAGGCAGTCTTCAGGATTCGGCAGCAGCACTCTGGAGGAGCGCTGCAGGAGTAGCGTTAGCGCTAGCAGTAGTCTTCAGCGCTGGGCGCTAGTAGCTGCAGGAGTAGTCTTCAGCGCACGGGCGCTAGTAGTAGTGGTAGTAGTGTTCGAGAGAGATGGCTGGCGGAGGCCAGTGAGACTTACCTGTGGCGCCATAGCTCCAGCTCCAGCTCCATCTTCGAGGTACCTGCATCAAGGCGCCAGCTTCACAGGTTAGTACCGGACAGAGAGAGAGAGAGAGTTCTTCTTCTTCCTCTTCTAAGTCCACCATCTCTTCTTCACCCTCTCACTACCTGACTTCTCAGTATCTGCGG